TCAGTGAGTGCCCCGTGCCGCCAGCCCTGCCCCGGACACCAAAGGGGCCTCCGAGTCTCCTTCCAGGTGGAGCAAGCATGACTCTGGGGCTCGGCATGTGCTTGGTGGCCCCCAGATGCCGTATGTCGGGCATGGTGTGTGTGTGTGTGTGTGTGTGTGTGTGTGTGTGTGTGTGTGTGTGTGTAATGCGCGCGCGCGTGTGTCCCCTCTGGGTCTCAGGTTCTGGAAAGGCCTCTCTTTCCTGATGAGACGTAGAACCCTCGGGTCTCGCTGACCAGCACCCCATGTCACTGGGTGGTCCCAGGGCCATCTTCTCACCCCTCTGAGCAGCCGGACCACCTGCCCTGCAGCCCTAGGGCTCTGGGAGGGACAGCCAAGGTCAGGTGGAAACCGTTCTGTGAGCCCCGTGTGCTGCCCTGCACTTGTCCCCACCGGACGGAGCTCACAGGGCACGGCCCCCCATCTTGGCCCAGTTCCTACCACCCAGACCAACGGCAGCCTTCCCTGGTTCCTTGTCTGAGAGCCTGTGGCGTCAGGGATGTCTGGGGTGTCTGGGGGGGGGACTCTTCCTCACCTGCTGACCTTCACACGTGTCAGGGAAATTCTGTAAGGGCTCCCCACGCTTCTCCCCTGGATTCTGGGCACCCCCCCCCGCCGTCCTGTTGTGGCCTCATGGGGGGCCTGGCATGGTGCCGGGTTGGGGGGGCGTTGCTCCGTGGTTTCAGCATGTCCTCCTCCATGTCCCAGGAGTGAGATGAAGCGCTGGATGACCTCCCTGGCCCCCAATCGGAGAACCAAGTTTGTTTCCTTCACTTCCCGGCTGCTGGGTAAGTGCCCTGAGGGAGGAGGAGGCCCCGGCAGGTGCGGGCAGGTGCGGGCAGGTGCTGTCTGCGCTGCCGGGATGGCTAGTGCCTGCGAGCCCGCTGTTCCAGACGCCAGCGTGGCTTCCACGGCCGGAGGGGCCTGTGCACCGACCCCAAGGGAGGACATCAGTGTAACCGACTTCACAGACACGTGGATGGTTGATAATGCGATAAGTCACTGGATCTTAGGTGACAGGCCCCACAGGGAAACCAAGAGGAATCTGGGCCCAGAAGGCAAACGCCAATGTGATTTGGGGTTGCCAGCTCTGTGAAACCTTAGTGACGGCCCACCTGCCTCCCAGAGAAACTTCGAGCCCTGACTGCTCTCCAAGTCCCGGCCCTCCCACAGCTGCTCCCAGCACCACATCCCAGGGCCTAGAAGCTCCTTCCAAAGTCCAGAATAACCCCCCTCCCAGCCTCTTCCTCCCTTTATCCACAGACTGTGAGAGCCCCTGGCCGTTTTCACAGTGTTTTCTCTGGAGCCAAATCCTCCTCTCGCCCGGACAGACCCCTCCAGTTGCTGGGGGAGTTTGCGCTGCTCTGTTAGGCGCGCCTGCCCTGTTAACCAAGGGGGGGCGGTGTCCAGGGTCTGCCGGGTACAGAGTGGGACGGGGGGCATGGCGACAGGGACGAGCCGCCTCCCTCCCTCCCGCCTTCAGACTGCCCCCAGGTACAGTGCGTGCACCCGTATGTGGGCCAGCAGCCGGATGAACTGACACTGGAGCTGGCCGACATCCTGAACATCCTGGAGAAGACTGAAGACGGTGAGGCCTGGTGCCCGCACGCCTCCCACGCACGCACCCCCTCCCCGCCCCACTGGTGCCCCAGACTCTGCACCAGTCCGAGGGATGGGGGGGTAGTCTGAGCCCCGTGTGCAGAAGCAGACGTCACAGGGCTGAGGCTCAGAGACAGGCTGCCTGACAAGGGTGATGGTGGTGCCCTTGGGGTCTCCTGGCTTCATGCTGAGCGGCAGACGGTTGCTGAGGGCTCAGGAATGGGGTCCAGAGTCAGTACATTTGAGACACACCGTGGCATCCCAGGACCGCGTTCGCCCGGAGGGGGTCAGGGCAGTGCTTTCCCGGCTTCTGGGGAGAAACCCAACCAAGGGTCTCCAGCAGCAGCCGTCGAGCAGGTGCTCTCAGAAAGGGCTCCCGCACCTCCCTCGTCGCTGCCGCCCAAACGGAAGGGAGCCCCGGCCGGGAAGGAGACTCAGCCCTCACCCCCACAGCCTGACCCTCCCCGACCCGTCCCTGCACAGGGTGGATCTTTGGCGAGCGTCTGCATGACCAGGAGAGAGGCTGGTTCCCCAGCTCCATGACTGAGGAGATCTTGAATCCCAAGATCCGGTCCCAGAACCTCAAGGAATGTTTCCGAGTCCACAAGATGGACGACCCACAGCGCAGCCAGAATAAGGATCGCAGGAAGCTGGGCAGCCGAAACCGGCAGTGACCCCGGGCCGGGTCACTAGCCTGGCGGGAGGACGAGGGCGGGCTGGAGCAGCGCCGGGCAGGCAAAGCCCGACGGACAGCGGAGGGGCTCCGGGGGCAGGCAGGCGCCTCATGCGGGAGCCCCCCCACCCCTCTCGCTGCCCCGGGCTGAGTGCTCGCCTGTCTCGGCCCCCTCGCTTGCAAACTGGAGAAAAGGTGCCACGTCTTTCCTCTGCTGCATTTATAAACGAGAAAGCGTATTTTAAACAGTATTCTGCTACCTCTCCCTCTTGTCTCCTGGAGGGGGTGGATGTGGACCCGGCATGCTCCAGGGGCCTTCCCAGGCACTGGGAGAGGCCCCCAACCCCGGGGGGTCCCTGGCCGAGGGCAGGCTGGAAGGATTGTCATGACCCCCTGCACACGTCCTTCTCGACCCTGGAAGCCATTAGAAGCCACCAGGGGAGCAGACGGACCACCCTTGCCTGAGCTTGATGAGCAGCCCGTGGTCTCCGATCCAAAGGACTGAGAGACCAAATGCCTCTGTCCTCCCCTCCCCAAGCCTCTGCCAGTCTCTGGCTGCACGGCCAGGCCCCGCTTCATGGCAGGCCTACCAGAGCTTGGCTGAGGGCCCATGCAACCTCTGGCTCCCTGACAAGCTGATGTAACTTGTGTCTTCTGGCCCCTTCAGGAGCCCAGGTGTTGTGAGGAATGAATTGGTCACTGCATCCTGTATCGATTTTGGTTTCGAGAAAAGCAAATATCATTTCTGGCTGCATTAAAAGAAGCATCATGTATAAAATAATGGAGGTTACGTGCTGTTCTTTATTGCTCTGCTGCACACAGGAATGAGGTGTTTGGTTCTGGGCAGGGAAAGAAGAACTCCTTTCAAGGCCAATGGAGTAGCATGTCCTGAAGGAGGAGGTTGAGGTGGCTTCCAGGACAGGAAGAAGCAACCAGGGTCAGGACCTCAGGGTGGAAGATTTGGGCCTCGACCTGTGGAAGGATTTCAGAAACCAAGATGCTATTTGAGGGATTTGGGGGTGCCCTTCTGCTGCAGTGGAAGTGAGAATGCAGGTTTGGAAGAGCACAGGGCGGCTGAGGTACCAGGGGCTGGTGATCCCAAAGGGGATCTAACACCAGGCACGGGGCTGGGGCTTCCTACCTGACCAGTCACTTCCCACCTTGGGCACTTCGTCCCACTTTGGTGCTAGCAAGTTACCCAAAGGCCACAGCTCCTTGCCCAGCCCAGGTAACCCTCACAGGTGCTCCACCGCCATCCTTTATTCTGTCCTGGAGCGTGGAAGGCCTGGAATCTGACCCTGCCCAGCCCTGCATCCCTGGGACCACCCTCTTTCTGCCAGGACACTCCTTCCTCCACGCCAGAACAGGCCCTCCCTTAGAAGCCCAGGATTTGGGTCAAGTGGGACTTCGTAGCATCTTCCCACAGGCCACAATATGGCTCCTAGCATTCTTGAGACTGAGAGCCTGTGAGAATTGGATGGATTTCTGGAACATGCATACATGTGCAACACTCTGGTTTTGAGGGGCTGATGTTCATGGGGCCTCTGGGCTATGCCCCCAGGGGGATTACCCACACTTAAGGCCCCCAGCAGTGGGGGCAGGGAGAGAGGGGCCAGTTTTGAGCCCTATGCTGCTCTTGGGGGGGGGGGGGAGAAACCCTGGGACAAGGGGGGGGGGGTGACCATTGGTTCTGGCCCTTGTCCAGCTCATCTTTTTGAGGCTGGTAAAGAGCATGCTGATTTGGATCATCTGCTTTAACTAGGGCTTTGGTTACCAGAGGTTACGTGGAATGAAGTCATTTAAACAGCTTCATGAGAACTGGTCAGTTTTAGAACAGTCTTTCACAAATGGAAACTTCGCCCATGTGTTTTGGGCGAGCGCTCATCTGGAGTATCCAGGAGGGAAAAACTGGTCTTAGCTGGAGCAGGAGTGGTCAGGAGCTCAGGGAAGCGAAGGAGGCCAAAAGCGTTGCTAGAAACAGTGAAAGTAGAGGAGGAACAGCTTCCCTCCACCAACACCTACACCTCAGCCCAAGGTATCAAACCATCACAGAGTGTGCAGACGGTCCCTCCTTCAAGCCTCCGGTCTTCTTTTTTTCCAGTTCAGGCCTCTTTCCTGCCAAGCCCTGGGCAGCTCAGCCACTATTTTAAATCCCTTCTCTCAATCACAAAAGCCAGCCTTCCGGGGAAGTGTGCAAAACCAAGGATGTGACCAAGAAAGGAGAGCCAGGGCCAGACGGGGAGTTAGAGGGAGGCTGCTTGGGACTGTGGTCCGGTTGCTCCTGGGGCTCCCAGAGGTGGAGGGGTTCCCAGGGACGCCGGAGGGACAGGTCTGGCGCTCAGAGCCACAGATGGCCTAATGACCAGGTCAGAAGACGCCCCCACCCTCCGAACAAGGCTCTGCTTGGGATCCCTGCCTTGCCCGCCTGCCCCGAGCTCCGGGCCGCGAGTCAGTCTGCGCCCGAGCGCTGGAGGCGGGCCCTGGGCACTTCGGGGACAGGAGCAGGGCCGGGGCGGCGGGAGCCAGGGGCGCGGGCAGCCGAGTGGGGTCTTGGCACTCACGTGTTGCGAGTTGTCACCCGCCCCGCTCGCCCCCACACGCACGCGCAGACACACTCGAGACACGGGGGCGCCACCGGGGTTGCAGCCGAGTCGCGCCGTGCGGCGGGGGCGCGGCCCCTTTATTCGCTTCAGGAGGCGGAAAACTTTCTCAGCGCGACGACGACAAGCGCCAGCACCACGCAGGTGGCCAGCAGGGCGGCGATGACGATGGCGGCGATGGCGCCGGGCCCCAGCGAGCCTGCGGAGGACGGAGGGCCGGTCAGCCCCCGCCGCCCGCGCCCGCCCCGCGCCCCCCATCCCCCGCCCGGCCGGCCGCGCCTACCGCTGCCCGGGTCCAGCGGCTCCCGCGCCGTGCTGTCCTCGGGGCCCGGCGCGGCCGTGGGGGCCGGGGGCCCGGTGGCCGCGGGCTCCCGGGCGGGGCTGGTGCTCTCCACGGGGCCCTCTCCCGACGGCAGCTCGGCGGGCTCGTTCCACAGGGTGGGCGCGGGCTCCTGCGGACCCTCGGCTGCAAGGCCAAGGACAGGCGCTGGGGAGCCGGCGGCAGGGCCGACAGGGACGAGGCCCCCCGCAGGGAACAGACTGTGGAGGTGGCGCTGTGCGCGGGACTCTGGGGTCAGCGCTGAACCAACCGTTCAGTTTCACCGGGGCTCCAGGACCTCTGCTGGGGCCAGGCTGCTTCTGAGCCCAGTGAAGACAGACTGATGAGGGATTGGGGGGAATAATGGAGAGGGGGAGGGGCCCAACAGGTTCTTCTAGTAAACAGCGGTGAGCACCCGCTCGGAGCTGGCCGCCCAGCTTCCAGAAGGCCTGAGCAGGTCACTCACCCCTCCCAGCACAGCCCCTGGACCCTCATCTGAACTGCTGGGCTCTGTAGGCCTGGGTGAGATAACTGACCCTTGAGAGAGGCCCTGGCAAGGCAGGGCAGGGCAGCCTTCACCCTGGAGAAAAGGCCAGGAAGGTGAGGCAATTCTCCCTTCAGGAAAGGGGGATCCCTGCCTACCCAGAGCCCCATGAGGGGGCTGTTGCTGCAGGAGGTGGGGAGGAGAGGCAAACCCCTCCTTTGCTTCCCCTCCTTTGCCCTGACCTGGGCAGAGCCACACAGCCCACAGGACATGGGGTCTAGTGCCCACACGTACCCCATGTTTGAAGGCTTAAACCCCAAGGAGACTCTGCATCCTAAGAAACTGTGATGCCAGCATATTGTTGTCTCCAGACAGGACAGGGCCAGAGGGACGGCCAGAGGTGTATGGTCAGTGTAAGGGAAGCCCCAAGAAAGGGACGATGGCCCCCCACCCCCACAGGCTGGGGCTCAATCAGCCCATCAGTCCCGGTGCAGCTTTTGTGCAGAGGCCTCTCTCTGCTCATGGGTTGGGAGTTGGCAAGGTTTGGAGTACCCAGGGGCCTCAGGGAACGGGACAGGCTGACACTGAGAGGCCTGTGTGAAAACCCCAGCCCCATATCCCCACCTCCACCATATCGGCCCATGCCAGTTTCACTCCCTTCCCTACCAAGGATCCTCGTCTGAGGGGCCCCACAGCACTACCCCAACCCCAGACCCACCCATCCTTCCCCGAGAGGAGGCCCCAGCCCCCCAGTTAAAGTTCAAGACCAGAATGACAGACAGTCTCCAGGCTCCCACCACCCCCTAGTCCTGGCCATTGGCTTTAGCAGGGTCAGAGCTCCCCAGTGCCTAATCTGAATTGTGATCCGGGGATGCTCAGCCCCCACGCAGTCCCTAGAAAGGGCTCCGCAGGCATCACAACACCATCTCGTTGACTCCAGCTGCTAGGAACTCTCTTTAAGAAAACCAAGGCTTAGGGGGGCCCAGGGAGGAGCGCTGCTGGGACTCAGAAGCCCCCAGATGATGAAATATCAGGATACACTCCCCCAGAAACCACCAGGGAAGTTGTGTCATTCCTGAAGCCCCAGCCAGCCTGCCTGCAGGTCCCTGGGGCACCTTTCTCTCCGCAGGCTTCACCCGCCGAGAGCTCCCTCTGGCACAGACAAGCCCGAGCCAAGCTGCTTGAAAACTCACCAGCTTCCAGAGAAGGGCTGTGCTGGGGGGAAACAAAGGGACTTTTGGGTCTCTCCTGCTAACAGGGCCCACCTGGGGCAAATCACAAATCACGAGGAAACATCAGTGAAACCCAAATTCAGGGTCAGTCTTAAAATAACTGCTTTCAAAAACATCCAGGTCAAGAAAGACAAAGGAAGGCTGAGGGACTGTTCCAGATTAGAGACCCAGGAGGTTGAATGCAGCAGGTACTCCTGGCTGGGGAGGGGGGCGCTGTGGGGTTTCGTGGGGAAGTAGGAATTTGCAGCTTGGATAACAGTACCATATCAATGTCCGGGTCCTCATTGAGATAACTGACTGGTGATGTAAAGATCCTTGTTCTTAGAAGCATTGAGGGGACAAAAGGCATGATGTCTACAGCTTACTCCTCAGTGGTCAGCATTCAGATAGCTCAAGTGGGTAGGCAGAGACAGGAAGAAGAGCAAATGTGGCGAAGGCGTTCCCTAGGATTGCTCTTGCCACTTGGAGGTAAACTCAAAATCTCTTCCCAATCCAGCTGTACAGGACTCCCCAGGCCCTGCCGCTGCAGCCTCTCCCAGGCCTGGGCTGGATCAGTTCTGAGGCTCAGCTTGCAGGCGGGAACCTCTGTCCTAGTCCTCAAGGGTTCCCCAAGCCGGCATCCCTTTTCAGAAAGCGGCCCTGCCAAGGAGATCTCCCAGGGGCAAAAGGGCCCTGACACACAGTGTGGGGGAAGCTTCCTGCTTGCAGGGCCTGAGGCCAAACCCAAGTGCCGGTGTCTGGGTCCTCCCTGGCCCCCCACCAACTGCGAAGATCACCCTGTGAGGAGGGGGGCGATAACCCTGCCAGGTCTCCATCATCACTGCCTTGGGGGGGCAGGGGTCTGCAAGCCTCATAGCTGCTATGGAAGGTGCCAGGCCCCGGGCACACTCGCCTCAGGCTCCCAGGGGCTGGGCCAGAGAAAGAGTCTGAGTATGTCTGTGGCTAGGCCCTGAGGTCTGACAGACTGCCTGTCTTCCCAGTTAAGTGGACACACTACTGGCCCCCACAGCAGGGAGGCCTCCACAGGGCTGCAGGGTACCAGGCCCAGCGACCTGGGCAGCCACGGGGGAATCAGCGGCCTGGAGCTAGCAGTGCCCACGTAAGCCTCTATCTCTGCCCTTTGCCAGAGCCCAGGAGCCAGCTCTGGGGGAGAGGGGGCCTCCCTCTGAGCAGGGCGGTTGGGGGTGCACCCAGGTCTTCTCCCCTTCCACCCCCCAAAGAGCCGGCCTTAGTTGGCTGCTCCCCACAGAAGCCTGGACCTTCCCTGCCGGACACACTGGCTCAGGCTGCCTCATCCCTGCTCCTACCCCTGCAACACTCACCCAGGCCCTAAAGCTTGAGGGGCTGAAACCACAGGCCTCCAGATCAAAAAGTCTGGGTCCCAAGCCTGGCTCTGTCATGCTGTCACCCACCCTGGGACCCCAGCAGACGGACTTCACTTCCCCTCCCCGACTGCACTTCCCACCCTGTGAAATGGGCGTTGGATCGCGTCTCTCTGAGCTCACGCAAGTAGCCAACCATGCCGTCGCGCTGTCCTGAGCGGCTGCCTTGGCCCCGGGGCCTCCCCGGCCGGACTCGGGTCGGCTGGGTCTGTGCGCTCTGCATTTGCTGTCACTGGCCATCATGGGAGACCCCAGAGGCTCATCGGCACCCGAGAAGCTGGGGCCCCAAAGGCCGGCCAGCTCCCTGCGCCCCTCCCAACGAAGGAGGCACCGGCGCCAGGAAGAGGCCCATCCTCACCTACATATCTCTGTATTTTCTCAATTTGCTGCAATAAAAGGGGAAAACAGAGTTTAAAGGCAATAATCCGCCTTCTCCCCAAATCCATCTTGGGGACCCCTAAGCGGAAGCTGTTGTCAGGGGGCTTGCCAGCAGGAGGGCCCATCCAAAGAGGTGTGAAGATGAGGGAGAGAAAGCCAGGCAGAGGGACCGGCACAAGCAAAGTCATGGAGGATGGAGCCCATGGCCATGGAAGCTGAGCTGTGAGCCCCAAGGGGGATGTTAGGTGAGGACAGAGAGGCAGGTAGGACTGAGGGGGGCCTGTGATAGACCTAAACACCAAGGACCAGAGTTAGCAACGTCCGGCGACTCTGACCAAGGGAACCCAGAGAAGTAGGGGACCTCGTGACACTGCCACAGGCCCGGGCATGGTGGGCTCTCCCCCAGCCCCACCACCTCCAGCCGCCCTGCCTTTCAGTAAATAGGTTTGTTTAACACTCACTCTGACCGCAGGGCCCCGAGGCCAGGCACCCGTGCTCACAGACCGCCTTTGTGCCTGCCATGAAGGGCCTTTTCATCCCTTCCCTGGCCTCCTGCCTGCTCAGCCTGGCCTGCTCCCCCTACTCCAGTAGCTGTACGGGCAGCCACCAGGGAGGGCAGCAGGCTGGGTCTGGACCTCAGCCACAGGGCCACTCCTTCCCTGCCCGCCTGTACAGGACCCCTGCCCACCGAGCAAAGGCAGGGGCCTGCTAGGCCTTGTACACACCTGCTCGGAGCTTCCAGCCCAGAGTTGGGTGGCTGAGAGCTTCCCAAACATCCTCCCTCCCAGACTGGCAGGAAGAACGACAGCCAGCCCAAACCCCAAAGACTGGGGGGTGGAGTGGGCCCGCCTGTTCCTGGTAGGACACGTGGAGGGAGGTGAGGCCAGGTGAGGTCCTAGAGATGCCAAACACGTCCCCAAACATTCCTGTGGCAGCGGACAAAGCCCACCCACCCCGGCTGTGTATGCACAGTCTGATCCAGGGCCTCCAGCCAGCATCCTGGGCTGGAAGAGCTGGGCTACTCAGGGAACAAGAAACTGGACAGGAGCTCCCCTGGTGGCCCCAGAACCTGGGCAGGCCGGCGCCAACACCTTCGCCTCTACCCAGTTTGACCACCAGGCAGGGGTGGAGTGGGGTGTGGGGTGGGGTGTGGGGGATCTGCAAGGACCGCAGTCCTAAGATCTAGTCCATGGAAGATGCCACCCGATACTCAGGTCACTTTCCCAGTTCCCGGGGTGTCACACCGGGCCCCTGTCTTGCCCAGCCAGCACATCTCCCACATAAAGGGAGGCTGGCACTTTGCCAGCCTATTCGGAGAGGCGGTTCTGCCCCAAGACCACCCTGCACCCAAAGGGGGTGTTGGGGACATTGACTCACATTCCCCAACACTTCCTGAGTGTTACAGGGTGCCTGGCCCATCCTGAAAGCTCGTGTGTCGGACTGGGCAGGCCTCCCGTCCCCTGCACGGGAGGCAGAACCGCTGCCTGCGGTTACACCCATGCTACAGATGAGGAGAGGTACCGAAGGCCAAAGAACGGTTGGTAGACACAGCCGGAAGCAAAGCCGGGCTTCTCCCAGGGCATCTAGAGGCCTGCGCGCCCACAGGTGACTCACCATCATTTCTTCCTGGTGTGTGTGTCTGAGTGTGTAGCTGTCCCCCCCAGGCCTCCCACCCCCCAGCAATTCTCCCCAGGGCCATGCTTAGGTGGTTGGCAGCCAGGTGCCACCCCTGTAGATGCACAGACATTCCCCCCAAAGCCCATGCCGCAGAGAAGGTCTCCAGGGCTCTCCCCACCCACTCCTTCCTCCAGCCCCAGGACCCCCCAACACACACACACATATACACACAGGGGCCTGAAATATTTCTCCTTTGGCCCACCTCACGGTCAACAGAGACTGCTTTCTTCTGAAGAAAAACCATCCAGGACCTGTCTGTGCTTTTTCTCTCTCAGGCTTTGAAGCTGGCCTGGGCCAGCCCCTCCCAGCAGAGGGCCCTAGAGCTATGCCCAGGACTGGGGCTGAGGTCCGGGGAGCCAGCACCCTGAGTCTACTGGGACCTTCCTTCTCACCACACCCCAGACCTGGCCATTTTGACCTCAGTACTGAGCCTAAGTCCAGTGTCCTCAGCATGGTTTTGCTAAGAAGTCTCAGGCTCTGTGTTCTCTCTGAAAACTTCCCTGGGCTGGGAATAGTACTTGGGTCCTCACTCTGGAAGGATGTTTCAGAAAGCCAGCAGAAGAACGGTTTGCAGGGTTGAAAAGTGAACCAGCAGGGTTCTGGGGTTTTCTGCCTAGGAGCCAGGGTCTCTAGTCCCTCAGCTGCTTGTCCTGTGCCTGGTGCCCTGTCCTGACTCCCAGATCTGGAAGCCTTCAGATTTCAGCATGCTGGGGTAATCCCCATGTCCCCCAGTCTGCTGAAGTCCCTGGCCTTGCTCCCTAAATCACCCCCCTGCTTCAGGGGCCATCGTGTCCATGGCTAGCAATTCCCAGGACATTGACTCAGCTCCTGGCAGGCGATCTCACAGAATCCTTCTGCAGAATCACCCCAAACGGTGGCCTGTCTCTTGGGAAGGGCTTCTGTCCAGTGGGCAACAAAGAATCTGGCCCACGGTGCTTCTTGGCCCTGGGCGGCTGGTGGCAGCAGAGTCAAGGGAGCACCCTTACCTGTGAGCACTGCTGGGGCCAGGACCCCAGAGAGCAGCAGCAGCGCCATGCGCAGGACCAGACAGAATGCCATCCTGGCCTGTGAGGGAGCGCGGCCGGAGAGTGGGACACACCGAGGACTGAGCTCCTTAACTTCACAGCAGCGGGAAAGAGGTATCAAAGGGCTGGGAAGGGTTTTCATCAATGCAAACTCTGTCCTCCTGGGACACCGTGCCCGCCCCCCACACATAAGCATGCATACACACACACACACACACACACATGCACACACACACACAGCAGAGCTTACAGAACAGACTGCTTTCCTGAACGCCAAAGTAGCCCCACCCTCCGAGAGGGAAAGAAAGAGGAAATTGCTCTCTTTCCCTCTTTCTCTCCCCCCAGTCCCTCTCTCCCTCTCCCCCCTCCTCTTCCTCTGTCACACACACACACACACACACACACACACACACACACACACACTCCTCAGCCACTTGAAGTAAGATTCTCAAACTTCGGTGTGCAAAAACACTCACCCAGGGAACTTGGAAAAGACAGATACCTCCAGCACTCTGTTCCAGAGGGTCATGGGTGGGTCCAGGGATCTGCAGTTTAGTGCCTATGGCTTTGGCTTGAGAGACTGAAGCCCAGGCGGTCAGCACTGCACAGTCTGCTCACTTTTGGGCTCTCGATGCCTGGTGGGGAGACAGCACTCAACAAGACCTTCTTAACAACAGAAGCACTTCCAAAGCAGTTTCAATCCAAACCCTCAGCAGCTCTAGTCTCTTTCCAGAAAAGCTCACGTCATTAGATGCCCTGTTTCTTCTTGCTATCTCTTCTCCCGGGTGCCTGAGACTCAAAACACCACCTGTGTGCTCCTGGCTTCTATGTCCAGCCCAGGTCTGGGGCAGAACTTCAGCCCCACCGCCCACAGCCTCCCCAGCAGCTCCATGAGCATCCAAAAAGTATGTCCACTTTAATGTGTCCAAACTGACCTTGACTCCAGTGCCTCCCCAGTCCTGCTCAGTCAGTGGAACCCCAGTTGCCGACCTTCCAGATGTCCTGGCCACGTAATTAAAAGTCATCAAAAGTTTCTCTCTCCCTTATTTTTATCCAATCTCTCAGAAAGTACTGCCAACATCCCTTACCTCACACCCTTCGTGCTATCCCCCCGTTCTTAGAAAAGCCACCTTAAAGGCTTGCCTTGGCCCTGCTCACAGTGTTCCAGTCCACTGGTTTTGACTAGGTTTCTCCAACACACCAGATAGGGCCCTGGCACAGGGCCTTTGTACTTGCTGTCCCATCTCCCAGAAAGGAGTCCCTCAGCTCATTATGTGGCTATCTCCTTATCACCATTCAGGTCTCAGCTCTGATCAGTCAGCCTCCCATCTACCCAACACATCACTTAATTTCTTCTCAGCACTTACATTTACAAAAAAATCTCATTTCATTCACATTTTATTTATTTATTTATTTAGGTGAATTTTCTGAGGAATAACATCTATACCATAAAAAGCACAAATCTTAGGTTTACAGCTTGAGGAGATTTTATGCATGTGTACACCAGGGCAAACGTCACCCAAATCAATATGGGACATTTCCAGCACACCAGCAGGATGTTCCTGTCCCCCACCCCCCATTAGTACCTCCAAAGCACGATTCTGTCTTCCGTCACCATGGAGGAGTTCGGTCGACTCCCGAACTTCAAATAAACGTAATCATAGGATATGAACTCCTGCTTCTGGCTTTTGTTGCTGTTCCACATTCCAGGAGATTTCGTCCACGTTGCTGCATGTGGCAGCTCATTTGTTTTATTGCTTTATTTTGTTTTGTTTTATCACACTCAACCATTCTGCTGTCCATTTTGCCGTTTATCTGTGTCTGTTGGCGTTATTTCTAGAACTTCTATGAATCTGGCTCCTGTGAATATTCTTGAGTGTGTTGTTTGGTGAACAGACCCGCTAGCTTCTCTTGGTTATAAATTCGACGACAGAATTGTGAGGTCAGAGGGGAGGCAGATGGTAGCTTCTGGAGATGCCGCTGAGCCGTCTTCCCAAAGGTTCGTTCTAGTTCCTACTCTGAGGAGCAGTATGAGTGTTCCAGTTGCCCCACATCCTCTCCCACACCGGTCATTGCTAGTCTTTTATTTTCTATGCATCCTGAGAGGTCTGTAACAGTGTCTTACTGTGGTTGCATTTGCATGACTAACACAGTTGAGCAGCTTTTCATGTTTTGTGACCAAAGGAATATCCTCTTTTTTGAATGGTCTGCTCAATTTTCTTTGCCCATTTTTTAGAGGGGTCTACCTCTTTATTTTTGCTTGATGTGTGTATCCAAGATAAACATCCTTTGTCAGATATGGGTAATGGTACCACTAGATGAAGCGTTCGTGGGTTTTCTCTCCCCACCCTGTGACTGTAAATCCCAGGAAGGCAGCAGCTGTGTTTTGTTCACCAGTGCACTTCTAAAACCTAGCACCACCGTGCCTAGCACGCAACAGGAACTCAGTATTTGGTTTCAGTCACCTGGGATTTCTGGGATAGAGTTAACAGGGAGTATCTTCTCATGTGCTTATTCATTTGTGTTGGTTTTTTGCTCCGAGTCTCCCACCCTCAACTTTCTGTGCCCTGCAACGTAATGTACCAACAGAAGGTAGTCGCGTCCCCACATGACACTTGAAACTTCCTTCCTAGCTGACTTCCTGTTAGCATCTGCCAATGGGAGGCACTTTTGTGAGATGCAAGGGGAAGGGGAGAAGTGACCCTTTCGGACAGCTAAGAGCATCAGGGACTCAGGGTCACGGGGTGGTGGCTTCATGTGCAGCCAGATCGAGTTGAAAGTCCAGGCTCTGTGTCCTTGCCAGGAGCCTCAGTCGACAGCACTACAGCCTCTGGGGAATCTTTCTCCAGCTCTGGCTGACGTCAATTGCCTAGGTGTGGTTGTCAATTTATGTGCAAACTTCCCTTCTTTGCTCCTTCAGCCCTTCAGACATCCTAAAACAGATCCCTGCACTAAATCTCTTCTCTCTGAAATACCTCGAGCGAACTCTGTTTCTAAGTCAGACCCTGACCCATACAGAGCTTTGCACCTGGAATGGTCCTGAGAAACAGGCCCTCGAAGATGTGTTTCTGAGTTTTGGCTCACCACCATGTTGGAGTTTGAATTGCAGGGAAGACCTCACTGTCAGTGGAAAATCTGATCCGGTAACGTATGGCATACTGTGTGTTAAGACTATTGGGTTGTTTTTGCATGAAATGGCCATTGAAGACAAGGCTTAAAAGACCAAGTAGATATGCACTTGACGCTTACAGTGGTATGATGATCAACAGCAGTGCAATGGACGGCTACTTTTTACTGCATTTGGGCGCTCGCAGAAAACGACAGCTTCAGGCTTTCATTTTGAAAGTCACGTCAGGACCAGAAAACTAGAGCTCTTCTGCGGCAGTCTTAAAGAAATATCTTATTTCTTGTGGCTACAGGGCATAACTGGCTGCAAACCAGGCCTCAGGTTTGTGCGAGTTGCAGAAACACAGTCTTGAATTCACAGCCGTGCCCATTCTCTTAGGTGAAACCTATGGCACTAACTGGAAAGGAGTGAGACACTGAGATTTGGAATGGAGATAGTTGGGTAGACAGACTCAAACAATCTGAGACTCTTCCACTCACAAATCCTTCGGCCTCCCTTGCAAGAGCAGCAGACTCCTTAGAGAAATGGCTAATTCCAAATCTGGGAAAGGAAAAGTAGAGGAAGAGCCTAGAACATCTCATGCCTAAGTAAGGAAGTGCTAACAAAATGATGGGGGCGTAGCGAAAGGACACAAAAGCCAACGTGGAGGGCACCAAATGAACAACATGTGCACACACAAAAGATGTTATCAGGTTGTAATATATAGTATGTGCACATGCATGTGTATGTGGAAGGTGCTTTCTTAGAGTGCGGATAAATACAAAAGGAAAGTTGGGCAAGCATTAATTGTTCAAGCAAGAATCAACTGCTGCTACAACTTAGTGGATAAAAGTCTGATGAGGAGGGGAGCCTGGGGAGACTCCGTTGGTTGAGCATCTGTCTTTGGCTCAGGTTATTATCCCAGGGTCCTGGGATCGAGCCCCATATTGGGCTCCCTGCTCAGTCGGGAGCCTGCTTCTAAACTTGTCCTCTCCCTCTGCCCCTCCTCCCTATTCATGCCCTCTTTCAAATAAATAAAATCTTTTTAAAAATTTTGATAAGGAATTAGAAGTTTATAAAGTCTCAAAGGATCTCCCATAAAAAAGAATCATTACAGTGGAGAAACCTGGCAGACAAACCTCAGTCAAGGGATTATTTTTTTTTTTTAAGATTTTATTTATTTATTTGACAGAGAGAGAGACACACACAGTGAGAGAAGGAACACAAGCAGGGGGAGTGGGAGAGGGAGAAGCAGGCTTCCCGCCAAGCAGGGACCGAAATGTGGGGCTCGATCCCAGAACCCTGGGATCATGACCTGAGTCGAAGGCAGAGGCTTAACGATTGAGCCTTCCAGGCGCTCCTAAGGGATTAAAATTAACATCACCAGTAATGGTTCAAACCAACATCATCAATGATATGATACATCAAGGACAGAACATCACTTCTGTATTATTCCTGCCCAATTGCATAATCTCAATCAAATCCTGAGAAAACACCAGACCACCCCAAATTGAGGGCATTCTACAAAACCACCGTCCTGCATCGTTGTCAAGATACGAAAGACAAAGACAGAGGAACTGTTCCAGATGAGAGGAGACTCAAGAACATGAAAACCAAATACAAAAAGTGATCATTGATGGCATCCTGCACCTTTTGGTTTCCTATTTATAAACAATATTAGTGGAACAATTGGTGAAATATGAATGGAACCTAGATATTAATTATTCTATCATTTACTTCCTAATTTTAATAATTACACTGTGGTTATATAAGAAAATGTCCTTATTTCAAGGAAACACACCCTGAAATGTTTAGGGGTAAAGAATATAATGTCTGCAGCTTGCTTCCAATTGGTTCATTAAAAAAAATATAGTTACGGAGAGTCATGATTGAGAAAAACTGATTACCCAGAAAAACTGATAAAGCAG